AGTCCTCTTTTTTCAATTTGTAGGACGTTACTTTCAGTTTAAGTCACGTCGTAGAGACTTAAACTGACACTGACCTCAGTCATTGCAGGTGTCCCTCAAAAAGTCTTTTGAAACTGTCACGACTGGCCACAATAACCTCACACTGATGGTTTCAAACACAAATTTGTCCCCACAACCACAGCAAGACATGTATACGCACATGTACATGCCCTAACAGAAGTTGATTCGCAATAAAGCTATACCACTACATCACGTGTGTATGTGTGTGTGTGTAGCGGTAGAGCAGTTCTTTTTACCTGGTTGTGACTCTTATTTTGAAGGTGATATCAAAAAAAGTAAGATGGCGTTTGTGTGTGTCTTGTGTGTATTGTGTGTATTGTGTGAAGCAGTAGAGCTGTCTATGATAGAGCCTCCAAAAAGCTTGTGTTACCAGGTTGAGACACTTATACAGTCAATATCCATATGATGTTGATGGAGTTTGTGTGTCTTTTAACCTTCAGACAGCCCTTTGAAGTTGTTCGGACCGGCCAAAATTACCCCACAATAATGGTTTTTAACCAAAATTGTCTTCACACATATAGAAAGACATGTACACACTTACAAAGAACCACACATCAACATGCACCCCTAAGTACACACAAATACACCATGTTGATTTACCTTAGAGTTGTTCTCAAACCTGAGATATAAGGCTAAGAATTAATGAGTTTAATTAGCCAATCAGCTTTGAGAAAACCCAGACCATATATATATCAATGCATGCGGCTCGATCAGGAATGGTGTGCTATGACTTTTCTAAGCGATTCGATTAACCACGACGACGTAAATGGCAATGAAAGGCAAAAAAATTCCCCTAGAGAATAAACGGGAAGACATCTTCAAAACGACCAACTTTGGAGCTCTACTGTTTACAAATAAGGGCTCTTATAGAGAGATTACAGTTCATGCTGGACAGTAATAACTGAAACACCTCTGTATAATGTAATTTACACTACATCCCCCACAGTGATCAATTGAATCAACAACTGTCTACTTTAATAATAAATTGCCAACTGAGTATATTAGTAATTATCAGATGCATGTTCAGGCTCCAAAGTGCCTAACTACAGTTAACTGGTAGATTTTGTTGCTGTTCTCACCTGGGAACTGATATATCGGGGAACCTAAAGATGTTCTTTAATTTTATCGTTTTATCATATATTATCACATAACATGTTTTACCCCTCTCTCCCCATTTTCAAATGTTACATGTTACAAAACATGTACTCAAACATTTGAACTGATTTACTTTTTTTACACAGTGATTTACTTCTATTGATGTCTTTTCACTAATATTAGTGACACTGTTGACGTGTTGACGGGTTGACGTGTTGACGTGCTGACGTCAATGTGCTGTCCCATCTCCAGTCAGCTTCTGTTACTGGTAGAGTTTATTGATGTTCTGTCTGAACACAGTTAGTGTTGCTGTTTTCTTCATCAGTGTCTAACTACCTGCTGTACATTTAAACTTACACTAGTTCTGATCCAGCACTCAGAGCTCTCTGCTCCTTTTAGCGACTTTCACCAACTCAGAAGTTGTTTACATGCTGTTCAGATCTGCTAGTTACTTTTGCTTAGCAGTTAGCTCTAGTTTCTCTCTCTCTCTCTCTCTGCCTCTCTCTCGCTCGCCCAGTGCAGTGTTGTTGTAACTTCAGTGCAGAGGATTGTGATGTTTATTACATCTTCAGCAATGTCTGCTTTCTTACTTTAGGCACAGCTCAACTCGCTAACCGGAGCTAAACGCGAACCCTAACTGCCATCTCTTAAAATTTTGCTCAAAATAGTCAGACAAACTCTTTTTAAATCCCACAATTCCCAACCTTCATTGACTATTTTTATATCAAGAATTTAGAGATTTTTTCAGTTTTGGTTTCATTCTGATATCTTTTACAGTTTTTGAGGAAGTGATGGGAGTACCCTCCATGTCTCCCATTGACTGCAATACAAATTCAGGAGCAGGTGTTACTGGGCAGAAATGATCAAAGCTGATTCTGATTGGCTAATTAAACTCATTGATTACCTTTTATCTCAGGTATGAGAGAAACTCTAAGGTAAATCAACACTGTGTATTTGCATGTACTTGTGTGTGCGTGTTGATGTGTGGTGCTTTGCATGTGTGTACATGTCTTTCTATAAGTGAGGACAATTTTGGCTAAAAACCATTATTGTAAGGTCATTTTGGCCAGGTCAGTGTCAGGATGAGTCTCTTTGACATGAATGAAACTGGAAGTAACGTCCTTTGTACAGATTGAAACATGAGGAGTGAAGTACATGCACCAAGCAGAAAGCACATTCAAAATTTCTCCAGGAATTTTCTAGTTTCTCATATTATTTGCCAGAAACATAAGCCTATCAACATGATATGAATGAAGTTCGGCTCTCTATTTATTAAGGCTATTACAGGCAGATGGTTTGATGTGCTTATAGAGACTGCAGCCTACATTTCGAACAAGTCATTACAGCTTTTCACCCCACGTTCCAACGAATGTTGAAATTTCTAATAAAAAGTGATGGCTCTAACCTATACCCTCAAATTCTACTAGAACGCTCCCTCCAAGCATATTTAAACAACACAACAAAGGACTGAGGGAGCAACGACTGTAGAGAGCAAAGCCTAGTGGCTACGTAGTGTGTTTCAAAACACTGTTATATAGTGAATTCATCTAAAGTTACTTAACAATGAGGGTCTAGCACCAAAACGTTGCAAATAAATTGTTTATTGCAAGTCAGACAGTGTGCAAGATTTTTTAATGGCTACGTAGTGTGTGTGACATTGATAATGTCTAAAAGTGACCTCAAAGTCTTGCCTACAACATCACATTAACAGACGGGCTATTATGTAATAAAAAGTGATATCCAAACAGTGACATTATAAGTGGCATAAAAGTGTTATTGAGAACAATACCATTATGATATAACAGCAGATTTTTGTGATGAAATATTGTGTAATAATGTGTTTCAATAATTTCCTAAATTACTTTGCAAATTATTGTTTCATTTATATATTTTGACAATTAATAATTTTATTATTAAATACTAGTTACTATTTTGTCTGTTCAAAATGTGCCTGATGGTGCATAGTATTGTTAAAAAGTAGCCTAATGGGGGTTTAATTTACAAACTCACAAAGCAACATACGACACTGCACTTTCTCAGTTCCTCAACAATATACCTGCCAAGTTTGAAGTCAATCTGATAAGCAGCTACCAAGAAAATCAAAGAACAGTGAATTCTGGATTTATCGATTTTTACTTAATAACACATTAGAGTTCCATAACACAACAGATGAAAATGTGCAGCTGTACTGTATGTAACCCACCTTGTATTTCAACAATCCAAAAATATTTCTATCAATGAACTTACACCTGCACATAACCACTGTACCAGAAGACCTCAGCTGTGACCCTGGAACGCCACCTTCTTGTCTAGAGTGGTTCAGCTGAAAGAGATGGGGCAATGCTGGTCGTGGTGCTGCCAAAAGGTTGTCAATAAAGGTAAACATCTTCAAACCTCCTTGTGATTCATTGTTTTGTTTTTTTGTTGTTGTTTTTTTTTTACTTAATTGGTGTTATTAAATAAAATAGATGATATTAATCTTTGTCTCTGGGTTTTAAAACAGAGAGGAATGGAGAGAAAAGTCAGAGTTTGTCTACAATCAAAACAGAGGAAGAAGAGCTTGAAGGTAATCCCCAGTTCAACTAAATTAATTTAAGGATTCATTTAATGTACTTTTATGCAACACATGGCAATGTTTGTGTGCACTTGCTCTGTCGAGCTCTTAATGGCCCTTTTACATCTAACGACTAAAAAACCTGGTCTCGACCCTTCAGCTCTCTCTAATTTCAGGCCTATTTCCAAGCTCCCGTTCCTTTCTAAAATCTTGGAGAAAATTGTTTTCACCCAATTAAGGGCCTTATTAGATAAGCATGATATTCTTGAAGTGTTGCAGTCCAGGTTTAAAAACTTTCACAGTACTAAATCAGTACTCTTAGGGATTTTCAATGACATCCTCTTAGCTACTGATTCTCATGACTGTGTCATCCTTGTGCTTTTAGACTTAGCTTTGACACAGTGGACCACAATATTCGCATCTCTTACTAGAGCACTGGGTGGGCATTAATGGTGGAGCACAGGATTGGTTTAGTTCCTAACTGGCTGGAGGAGGTTTTTGTGTCAGTTTTAGTGATTGTGTCCTCTTCTGTGCCTCTCCCCTGTGGGATGCCGCAGGGTTCGATTCTTGGGCCCCTTCTCCCTGCTTTATTAGCTCCCCCTTGGTCCTATTTTCAGGAAACAGCATCTCGTTCTACTGTTATGTAGATGACAGTCAAATGTATGTACCCCTGAAGCAGAAAGATGCATACTCTGTCAAACCATTACTGGAGTGTCTAAATGACATCAAAGCGTGGATGGCATCAAGTTTTTTTTAATTTTATCGACAAGAGGACTTAAGTAATGTTGTTCAGATCCAATGGTACCCATGATATTCCCCCTATGAACCTGGATTCGTTTGCACCTTATTTATCATAGTTATGAACCTGGGTGTGAAAATGGACTGTTGCCAATGTTTAACTGCATAAATAGAGCAGCTCGGTTATAAAATCCCACTTTTTTCATTTGAGTCAGTTAGTCTGTTCTGTTGAGACAGGACTTTGAAAAGGTGATACACGCCTTTATTACAACTCATCTGGACTACAGCAATGCTCTCTATGTTGGGGTTAGCTGCTCGCATTTTAACTGGAGCACACAAGCAAGAGCTTTTGTAGTTGTAGCTCCCAAACACTGGAATGAGTTGCCTTTACACGTTAGGCAGACCTCTTCATTGCTTGTCTTTAAATCTCCTCTTAAAATGGATTGGAACTACTTATCTAACCATAACCACTACTTGACTCAACCTACACTTACCTTAAACTGAGCGTAACCTTGCACTAAAATTTAACCAAGTCTTCACTATTTAAGGATTTATGCTATGGGACTTGTGTAAACAGATTTGTGTCCCCACAACATTAGTAAGGCAGATACACACACACAGAAAAAGTCTTGCCTGTTGTTGGTTTCTAAAAGTGATCTTTTTGTTCTTTCTGACAGTCCTGTTGAACTTTCTTTCCAAACTTGGCCTGGAAACATTTTATCCCAACAAGCTCACTCTTCAGTCTCTCTTGGAGATCAACAAAAACAGCATATCTGATGAACCTGCTCAAACAGTACAGGACATCCCATGGTGTTTTCTAAGAAAACTGTTTAAAATCAATGCTGAATGCAGGCATTGTAACCAGTTATCAACCAATTATGGGGAAAGCAATGAAGATGACTTTGACATGTCCAGTAGAGAAAATTATACAAACAAAAAGATTAACCCTCTGGATCTCATAGTTGCACTCTTCCTTTGTGCTGACAGCTTCTTGCAACAGCAAATGGCCCTCAAGATGTCAATGTGCCAGTTTCCTGTTCCACTGCTGTTGCCCCATGGTAAAAGGAGTCAGTGTACTCTGATGCTGTGGGCTCTGAGAGACATTGTCAAAGAGTGGCGTCCAATTCATTTGGCTGAAGAAAAAGGGTTTGTTGAAGAAAACCTTGTCCAAGCAGATACACCTTTTTTTTCCTTTGTGAGGCTGAAGAACTGCAGTTTATCCAAGTCCCAGATTATGAATCATGTTCTCAGCCATGGCCAACAGAATCACAGTATCTTCATACAAAGAGAAATGGAAGGAGGAACAATTAAAAGAAAAATAGCCAATGGATTGGTGGAGGTTTGCTGGTACCTTCCTTGTGGCAGAGGAAATCTTGACATTTTTCCAAAGCCAATTGCCTTTGCCAATCTGAGAGGAGACATCAATGAGTCAATCACACAATTCAACTTTCTTTTTCAAGTGTCTACTGCTACATTTGTGTTTCTGGACAAAGTTGAAGAAGATGAGCACAGGATTCTGACTTCTCTTCGAGATGATGTGAAATCCAAACTCTTCTTAGTTGTTAATTGCAAGGAAGGGACTGCTAAAGAGGAAATGACGTCTGTTGAGACAATAAAGAAGAGATTAGATTTACCAAAGACCAGTGTTAAAACTAAGGTTTCAAGTGAAAATGGAGCAGAGTTCTCACAAAAAATTTGTGCAACTATCAAGAAATCCCTGACTGACAAAACAGACAGAACAAATATAGAACAAATGCTTAGCCGAGCTGTTGAACTTGGTCTGTCTGTGGATGAATGCAGAAGTGAAAACCAAAATAAGGTAGCTGATGAAATCTTAAAAGGAATAGAGCGGAAAAGTATTCAAGAATACAAGAAACAAGAACTTCCTTTGCAGGGAGAAAACTGGAAAAAGCTATCAAAGTTAGAAAAGGAAGAGTGTACACTGACAAAATCTGGTGGGAAAGATCCGGAAAAGTATAAATCTCAGCTACAGGAAGAACAAAAACAAATCAGGATGGAGCAAAGTAAATACAAACTGACCAAAGGAATGGAGACTTTTATTCTATATGTATCTGCAAATGACAAAGAAAAAAGAGATTTTTTTCTCAAGTGGATGAAACTCAAGCTTGATACATGTTCACGGAAAAAACTGTCCAATCTGCGTGATAAATTCAAAGAGCAATGCAAGAAGAAAGATACAAAACTCATTAAAGAGTTAGACCAAGCTTTGCTGGATGGCTCATTAGGAATAGAGCATTACATGAGAGAGATGGGACTGATCTATGAGTTTTCCTTGCAGTTGCAAAACACTGCAGATCAAATAGCTTGTCTTCCTGGTTTGGCTGCTGAAATGTTGTTGGATGGATATCCTTTAGAGCTCTTGGATGGAGATGCTTCCAACATCCCAGAGAGGTGGGTGACAGATGTGCTGACTGAGCTTCACAACAAGGTTGGACAGAAGAGCAGACTGTTGGTACTGACTGTGTTGGGTGTTCAAAGTAGCGGAAAGTCAACACTCCTCAACACAATGTTTGGTGTGCAGTTTCCTGTCAGCAGCGGCAGATGCACAAGAGGAGCTTTCATGCTCTTCCTCAAAGTTGGAGAGGATATGCAAAGTGATATGAACTGTGACTTTATAGTTCTCATTGACACAGAGGGTCTTAAGTCCCCTGATTTAGCTCATTTAGAGGACAGTTATGAGCATGACAACCAGCTGGCAACCTTTGTCATTGGCTTGAGTGATGTCACAATTATCAACATTGCAATGGAAAACTCGACCGAGATGAAAGATGTCCTGCAAATCGCAACTCATGCATTCTTGAGAATGAAGCAAATTGGTAAAAAGCCAGTTTGTCATTTTGTTCACCAGAATGTTGGTGCAGTTGCAGCTCATGCCAAGAACATGAATGAGAGAAAACATCTTTTGGACCAACTCAATGAAATGACTCAACTTGCAGCTGAAATGGAAAAGCAGTCTGGTATTAAAGCATTCACAGATGTGCTGGAATATGACATAGATAAAAACAACTGGAACATCCCAGGACTCTGGCATGGAACCCCACCAATGGCATCAGTGAACATAGGTTACAGTGAAGCTGTGGCAGATTTCAAGAAAAATCTTTTGGAACGTGACATGAGAGATGAATTCTCAAAGATCCCAGAGTTTCTAGAATGGATGAGAAGTCTCTGGAAAGCAGTGAAATATGAGAACTTCATTTTTAGCTTCAGAAACACTCTTGCAGCTCATGCCTATAACAACTTGAACAAAGAGTACAATCAGTGGGAATGGGAGTTCAGAAAAGAAATTCTCTCCTGGCAGACAGAAGCAGAGTTAGAAATAAAAAATGCTGACAATGAATCTCAGCTAGAAACCTGGAACAGACTGGTTGAAAAAAAAAAATCAGAAGTGTCAAAGAAAATAAAAGACCGACAAGCAACAATGATGAAGACACTCTCTGACTACTACAAAAAGAAAGACAGACACGTAAATCTGATAGAGAAATACAAGGGTGACTTTATCAATAATATTAACAGCCTTGCAAATGAAATTAAACACTCTGTGTGTACTATATTGGACTGCACCCTTGAACTAAAAATAAGTACAAAAAAGGCTCAGGACATTCAGAGAGGATACAGAAGTGTGATTGAAGAACGAGTCATGAAGCTTCTGCGTGACTGCAAAGAGTCCAAACTGTCCGATGAACAGCTGACACATGAGTTTGAAAAGATGTGGGCTGAAGCCACCATAAATGTGTCTGCTCAGAAGGAGAAAGATATTGCAGCATGTGTCCGGGAGCAGTTGAGAAAAAATTTCTCAAACCTGAATGTCAATGAGCAATTGCAGAATATTGGAGACCTAAAGAAAATCGGGAGGGATCAATTTAAAACCAAAAGAGACCATGCAGAGACCTTAATGGAGAAGTTACAAAATATGTGGAAAGGAGATTTGCAGAGTTTTGCCGACAGTGTCATTGAGTCCTGCACACAGTTTATAGATGATAAAGTAAAGACAAATGGAGATTATCATGACTCTTTCACAAAGGATCTTCTAGAAAAAATTGATACATCTCTAAGTCCAAGTAACAACCGTCACAAAACAACTACACAGTTTGAGATCGACCTGAAACTTCACATCTGTGGCATTGCCTCAAGGAAGTTTCTTCAAATGCACAGGAAATTCTTGTCAGACAATGACCCTCGAACTCAGCTGGAGAAGTACAAGAGTCAGTACCTGTCAGATTTTCTTGATTTATATAAAGAGACAGATCACTGCCAGCGAAAAGCTACTGATTTTTCCAGATTTTGTATCAAGCCTGCTGTGGAAGAGTACATCAATAGGTCTCTAGGAGTAGATATTGTGGATGAAATTTTAACAAGTAGCCATTCAGCAGAGTACAGCTCACGTTCATTTTTCCAGTACAGCATTCTGAAAGAGTTGCTGGAAAAGGAAGACTTCAAGAGTTTTGTCAAGTACATTGGTAACTATGAAATATATGTTAAGAATTTGATATTTCAACACATTCTGCAAAAAATGTCAAAGGACAACACTTTGTGCAAACTGAAGAACAAGAATCTGCAGGTCATACTCCAGAAAATAACAAGAGCAATAAAACAGGCCTCAAAAGGAGTAGATGGTGTTCTGCTGCCAGATAACAAGGAAAGCATTACAAAGCTCATAAACAACATGCGCAAATATTTGATTAAAGACATCTCAATTTCAGTAGAGGATACTGAAACCACCCTGTTTCAAATCCAAAGCACATGTCATAAATTTATCAACAGCCTCAAGATCTCAATAAAGGACTTAAAATACCTGCTTCATGAGGAATTCTCAAATTCTGAAAACATCACTGAGACTCTGAAGAAGCTTCCTGTCAAACCACAGGATGAGCTTTTCAAGCAGGTGTTTGGTTGTGGACACCAGTGTCCATTTTGTAAAGTTCCCTGTGAGGCTGGAGGCAAGGAACACAAGCAACATCATGCAGCTGTGCATCGGCCTCAAGGTCTTGGTCGGTATAGGTATAGAGACACTGACAAGCTTGTTGCAACACTGTGTACAACTGATGTGCACAGTGAAGGTCGTTTCAGAAACACAGACACCCGTGGGGAGTGGCATCCTTACAAGGACTACACCACATACTACCCAGACTGGCACATTCCTCCAGACAACACCATAGAGGCATCTGACTACTGGAAGTATGTCCTGGTGCAATACAATGACAGATTTGCTCAAGAATATAAAGCCTTGCCAGCTGATGTTCCAGAGGCCTGGAGGAAAATCACAAAGGAACAAGCACTGAACGGTTTGAAAGATGCCTTCAACATAAAGTGAACAATGCACAATCGTGACAAATATCTTTCAACAGAACAACATTTCAACATCCCATAATTTTTCATATACAAATGTAAACTTCGCAGAAGACCAAACGAATACAGGAACTGAACGCGATAGTGCATTCTTCTGAACAATCAAACAAATAAAATAAAGACCAACACCATTAAAAAAAAATTCTTCAACCTAATACCCCATAGTTAAAAACAAGTCAAATCTTTAGAAATCAGTGCATGAAATGATGACAGCATAAATATTTTTTTGTTTTCTTTTTTGATTGATTGTTTGTTTCATTATTATTAAAATGTTTTTCTTTTTTTTGCTGTTTTGTTTAAGAAACTAACTTTGTGGTTCAATTTCAAAAAAAGATTAAACCAGTTTGTGACAGTGAAAACTGCAGCCTCCTTTGGTCTGTTGAACATGACTAACGGCAAATGATGAGTTGAAAAGCTGCAAATAGTTGTGTTTGACTTTCAGACATTTTCTGGGTTTGTTTTTTTTTATAGTTCATAGATGTTTTGTTTTCTTTTTCAATTGTCTGTAGGCCCTCCGGCATAATGACTGGTGTGCATGATAATCACATTGACAACGATAATCATAAAGTAAATGATAATATACTAAAAACATCATGTAAAAAACAGATCATGTTTTGTTTAGTTTTTTTCTTTTTACATTAATATTTTAACTTTTTTTTCTTTGCTCAAGTTTCTAAAGTCCAACAATTATGATCTCGACAATGAAAATTTTAATGTTGTGTTTCAAGTACTACAGGAAAAAAGAGATCACGTTTTGAACTATTTCGTTTTTTTTTTATAATTACAAGTTTCATTTTTTTTCAAGTTGCTATATGCCTGTGTATATAATTACTGGTCTGCAACAATTATGACGCTGACTATGAAAATGATAATATTGTGTTTCAAGTACCACATGAAAATAAGAGATTGTGTTTTGTAATATTTCTTTTATTTTTTCATGATTACAACTTTTTTTCTTATTTTTCTTTGTTCATATTTTTTATGGCACGATAATGCTGATGATGATAATGAAGATTTACTACAAAGACGATGTGAAAAAAGAGATGCTTTGTAGTGGATATGCCAGATTGGTTCATCTGTCTTGTTTGTTTTAATCTTTTAAGATAATATTGCTATAACTATTGACTATTGTGCATAAATGAAAATGATGCAGGCCCATTAAGTAAAATGACCGTCTGATGAGATATTTTGTAATATGTATTTCTACTTACTACTACTATTACTTTACCTCTACTTTTTTATTAGTTTTATTTTATATTTGCCTGTTATTAAATGAGAGTAATTAATATGTGCTCGCAGGGTAAAAAGTCAGCATTAGTTGAAATGTCTACATGTTCATGCACACACTATGGCATCCTTTCATGTGTTGTTAATGATTAACGTGATTTTCATTCTTTTAGACAGACCATGTGTTGAATAACAAACAAAGTAAAAAGTTGGAAATGTTTTGTTATCCTTGATCTATTGTTTTTTGTTGTTTTTTGGTTATTACAAAAGTTTTTGTGTCATTCTTGCTACACAGCCCTGTACAAAATAACGAGTACTAAAGATAGTGATGCTTATGCTGTTGATGATGTTGAAGTATACAGGCCATTTCAAACAGAACATTGTTACTGTTTTATTTCTAATTGGTACATGCCACTCTGCCATCTTATAATGTGTATTTGATAAACGTCAGTGAATAAGAAAAGTATATGTTATAGTAATTTACTTTGTTGCTCATGTTTAAATATTGACTAATTAATCCAATGGCAGGGAATACTGTGACATCTGATTGGCAACTGGGTTTTTCAGACTGATGACTTAAACAAGTTACAAAGAAGATGAAAAGCTGTTGTTAACAATTTCTGTGTTTGACCTTTCTTGATTTTTTCACTATTTTTTTTTGTTGATATACATTACAGATATGTGCATAATGATGAGTGGTGATTATGATGTTGATCAAAAAAAATCATGTAAAAAAATATGTTATGTAATAATAACTACAATAAAAACTTCTATCACAACTGAACTAGGACTCGAACCCAAATGCACAACTCCAAGACAAAGTCCAAATTAACAATATTCTAATAACAAAGCAGCAAAAAAAAAACACTATTTCAAGGAAAATCAACAAATATTCAGGACAAAGGCAAAGACTAAGTATCAAAATAATGTAAAGCAAGACCATGGCAAAAAACGTAGCACAGAATTCAAAACCTGACTTAGGATAATGTGGCTGCTGTGGTTCTCTGTCAACACGACAAGTCGAACTGGCACAGGACAAAGGGAAACGCAGACTATATACACACACAAGGTAATGGGAAACAGGTGGAAAAATCAGGGCGAGGCAGACAATCAGACCAGTGGGAAGAAGAAGAACGCCGCATAATCTAATACTTTATATTCACTTGGAAAGGGGTGAAGAAGAGGAACGAGTTGGTTCAGCTTTCTGGTTTTCTAGAAAACGATCATTAACAGCTCAGGAAAGAATTTAGCTGGAATTCACATGTATAAAACTGCTGGTAATGAGAACAGGCAACTTTTATGTCAGGGGTCCCCAAACTAGGGCCCGCAGGCCACACCCGACCCACTGGAGTGTCCCACTTAACGATCCCAGACAATCCATCTAAACATCACCACTGTTTTTAAATTGCATTTTCCTATCATAACATCATAACATATCCATACTTAAAGGTTGGCATTCTAATCAAAATTGACCATAGTTATGAGCTATTTATAGCTAATAGTGGCTCATCTTCACCCCCTCACACAATGGTATATTCTGACGTGACTTTGATCGTGACCGAGCCAGCATCAAGCGCGCAAAATTTAAGGTGAGCTGACAGAAGAACGTTAGACAGCAAAATGCTGAAACTTTTGGGGAAACAGAAAATAGATTCATAGTGCAGAGTTTTCAAACAGCAGTGGACAGATGACTGTTTTTTTGTCCAGTGCAAGGAAAAGGCAGTTTGTCTAATCTGCAAAGAAACAGTAGCGGTGTTTAAAGAATTTAACATTCACCGACACTATGAGACCCGCCACGGAGAGCAGTATGCTAGCTTGCAGGGCCAAGTGAGGAGAGACAAGGTGACGAGGCTAAAATGTGGATTAGCTGTCCAACAGAGCATATTGCTACGCCAAACACAGATGAACCGTCCGGGCCAACTTCAAGGTAGCTAAACTGATAGCACGCTGTGGAAAGCCGTTCAGTGATGGGGAGTTTGTTAAGAAGTGTTGGAGCGCTGCAGCGGAGGTGGTGTGTCCGGACAAGAAAGATGTCCTAAACGCGGTGAGCCTGTCCGCATCTACAGTCACCAGGTGAATTGAAGAAATGGGGGATAATGTACATGCCCAGCTGAAAGAGAAAGCTAAAGATTTTGTGTATTTTTCATTGGCATTGGATGAGAGCAATGACGTGCAGGACACAGCACAACTGATGATTTTTGTTCGGGGAGTAAGTTCAAACTTTGAAGTGACCGAGGAGTTGGCAGCACTACAAAGTCTCACAGATACTACAACAGGGGAGGATATTTTTGGTAAAGTGTGCCAAACGATGGAAGAGTTGGTTCTGGACTGGTCTAAGCTGGCCAGCATCACAACTGACGGTGCTCCAAATATGACCGGCACGTCGAGGGGGCTAGTAGGGCGCATGAAAGAGGAAATAGTAGAAAGAGGTCTCACCCTCCCACTACAAGTCAACTACCTGATTCACCAGCAAGCACTGTGCTGCAAAGTTCTGAGGTGGGAATCTGTCATAAAGGTGGTTGTGTCCTGCATAAACATAATCAGAGCAAACGGACTTAAACACAGGCAGTTCCAAGCCTTTCTCTCCGAGCTAGAATCAGCACACGGAGACGTGCTTTACCAAACTGAGGTCCGCTGGTTAAGCCGGGGCAGAGTTTTGAAGCATTTTTACGACCTGCTACCCGAAATCAATGCCTTTCTCCTGACAAAGGGAAAAACTGTCCCAGAGCTGATCGACACAGAATGGAAATGGGACCTTGCCTTTTTAACAGATGTGTGAGAAATTTTAAACGGCCTGAACTTGCAGCTCCAAGGCAAGGGAAAACTAATCTGACATGTATTCCCACATCAAAGCATTTGAGCTTAAACTAGCGCTGCTTAGTGGACAGGTGCAAAAACAAGACTTCACCCATCTCCCTGCTACTCGAAGCCTCTCAGCTGAGAAACCGGTCCCGTTCCCAACTGAGAAGTGCAAGGATGCACTGGAAACACTGAGGGCGGAGTTCGGTGTGCGGTTCCGTGAGCTTCATGTCCACGTTAAAGAAATCCGCACATTCCAGAACCCTTTTGCTGCCGACATTAACGACACCCTGCCTTCTCTTCAATTTGAACTGGCTGAGTTGCAGACCTGTGATGTGCTGAAAGACGTATTCAGCCTCAACACTCTAATCAAGTACTATGCTGCCCTCCAAAATGATACCTACCCCAACATAAGAAAGCACGCAACAAAGATGTCCACAGTTTTTGGGAGTACATATATCTGTGAACAAACTTTTTCACACATGAAGCTGATAAAAAATCCGACGAGATCAAGACTCACAGATCAACACCTGCATCAGTCTCTGAGACTGGCTGTAACTGGAATGGAACCTGACATCGATCTCCTCACCAGTCAGAAGCAAGCCCACAGCTCACACTGATATGGTAAGCCTACTGATTTCAATAGCAACAGATATTAAAAAATGTCATTATAATAATGCTCTTTTTATAGGCAACATGTTCCTTGAACAGTGATGTCACAGACAAAATTACACTGAAGTATGTCATCTGCTGATGGGCTGCTCGTGTTTTCTATCTGCCATCCCTGAAGGGCCTGCATGCTTCCAGGACCACCCTGAAGCGAGTAGGAGAGATTGTGGTTGACCGCTCCCACCCTGGAGGCGGGATCCTCATCCTCACAGCACAATAACCTCATCTAAGAGTCATGTAAATACAAAATCAGATCACCTTACATACTGTTTGTTACAATTATTCTGTATTAATGTTATTTCACTGTAGCTTTAGTAAACAAATATACCTGTGTAGACAAAACACTTAACTATTCTGAACTCACCTTTATTTGAAAATAATTTTTCAAACCACTATTCTATTTATTCTGACCACTATTCTGTATTAATATTATTTCACTGTGTGGCCTTAGAAAGCAAGCAAACCAGTAAAGACAAGATACTTACCTGTTGATAACTCATATTGTTTTTACTCTGTACATACAAAGTAAGCTTACCTAGATAAGACTAGTTTACCTGTTTGTTTGTTTTTCTACTATTATTCTGTATTAATATTATTTCACTACCTTTAAAGACAGAACACTTACCGTTTGTTAACTCAACTGTACCTGTTACAAAATCACATCACCTCATTCTTACCTGAACATTACCATCAGTTTGTGTTATTTTCTATATAATAAATTGAGTATCTGTGGTACTTCAAATAAACACATGTGAAGACTTTTAATTCCTTTTTTTGCAAATCAACAGGTGGTGCCTAAGTCAAACGAAGGGCAGCTGCAACAAATTATCATTATAATCTCCACAATAATACTGGTTGTCACCCTGGCCCATATCATTTCCTGTTATAGACTAACCTCGGCCCCCCATCACAGAAAGGAAAGTTGATGTGGCCCCCACTGAAAAAAGTTTGGGGTTCCCCTGTTTTATGTGCAATTGATTTCATGGCTGTCATCTGCCCTCAGTACTTTGTGTGTGTGTGTGTGTGTGTGTGTGTGTGTGTGTGTCTGGCTTTGTTTGTTTGTTGCTGCAATAAAACAGTGCTGTGGAAAACTAGCTGAGCCGATCTGTTAATCATCAGCACAAACACACACAGATACAAACATGCACACATAACTTGTAGAGTGGAATGCTGGAGATTTGGAATAAGGACAGGGTGTCGGCAAGAGCCACTCCTCTTAGTTTTTATCTGTTACGCACAGTGGGAGGAGCCCGGTTTCAGTGTCACGGTGACATCACTGTTTAGTGAGAGAGACGCAGTGGTGGAACAAGTACTCCAACCTTTTACTAATGTATCATGGTGGAGGAGTGTAAGTAAAATGCTGATGTTCAAAACTTTTCTTCGGTGTAATTAATGTGGCGGTAAATGTGCAGAATGTATGAAAAGCAAATCTGCTGAGAGTGAAAAGGAGTAGAGTTTAGTGTGATGTCAGTTTTGGGAGAATTTCATGAGGGAAAGTAAAAAACAAAAATGCAAGAAATGAAAGAAAAAGATGGTTTCTGCAATCTATTTTGCTCTTACCTTTTACTGACAGTAAAGTCTAAATGTGCAAAGCAGATTCAGCACTGTGTATGTAGCGGAGCAAAAAGTAAAATATTTCCTCTGAGGTGACAGAGGAAGAAAGCCCAAAACTTAAAATCATACTTGGGTAAATGTACTTAATTACCTGCCGCCACTTTCAGAGTAACATCATGCCGCACACCCAGAAGGGCTGCATTCCTCAGCTTCACTCCTCCTCCTCCACCTCCTCCTCCTCAGCTGAATGTGCCTGTAGGTGAGTGTTTGGGTAACAGCCGCCCACCAGCCTGAACACACAACAGTGACAAAGACAAGGACCATCAATGAAACTGAGAGGCTCGAATTAGCAGGTAAGTGTGTTAAAATTTATCTCTGAGCTCTAACAACCTGATAACATGGTTGGAAAGACGCTATTTATTATCTACTAATAAAAAATAGTTTGTTTTTCAGGAGGGAAAAATGTCACTGGTGATATTTGTTTCTAATGTAAACAACAGTTGATTTAATTTCTATTTGGTAAATAAAAGAGCTTAGAATATAGTTCATTTACAACGACAATAATCATGATTAAACTTAAAAAGATTCTTGTATCAAGAAAAATATTCAAATGAAACTGAGTAGGATAAAAGTTTACTTGTGTCATTTCACATTTGAGAAATGTCTTTTTTTTACCATATGTGAAGAAAATTTTCTTATGAGGGAAAGATAAAAAATTATTTTTTTAATCAGGAAAAGGAGGAACACTTTCACCAGTTTCAGTTCTTAATATTTTCAAAGGTGCCTAGAATTAAAGTTTTAACTGCAAAGAAAAACATATTTTCTAGTTACAGTTTCCAGGGTTTTGGGGACTTTTAGTTCTCGCTGATTATTTTCTGAATGACGGTGATACTGAAAATGGTTTGGAGTAGTGAAGTTAGTAAACAGAGAGAGAGGAGGTATGTGTGGGTGGAGTCTGAGTCCTCGAGGAATGTCAGCATGCTCTGCCACATTCCTGCCCTCAGCAAATCTGTGTGTCTTCTCCTGCAAACACCAGACTTTCACACACTTCAAACATCTTATGCAAACTTTAAATTTGCTACTTGTGTTAACTGATCACTGAGGGTTCTTCTAATGTCTGAAGAGAATAAATTCAGAAAGACAAAATGTTCACTTACAGGTTTATGCACCTTGCTATGCAAACACGCTGGTAAAGTTACATGTCATCATGTACGTCACCTGGCAGTATTACTGGTTTGGACCGAGTAACAGCACAATTCTGAACTGTCTGCTGTCACACTGAAGCTACAGCAGCACAAAGGTAAATACACAGAGGGATATTAAATGCACATCTTCTTAAGAGTGCTGTAATAATTTATCATCTAATTATCTTTATTGCACCACCACAAACTTACACCCCCACAATAATAATGTTCCCAACAGCTCCTCCCTACATTTTCAAAATTCACCATTGCCAACAGAGATGTGGAGCCAGGCAACACAAATATCAGCAACAGTTTGCACCACTTTATTGAAGCCACACACTGTGCTGCATGCTGGGAAGTCTGCTAATGAGCTAACAATTTGTCATATGACAAGTTTAGTCAATGCTTGGTTAGAAATTCACTATTTTCACTTAAGTTTTGATTGAGTTTCATGTAACTTGAGTTTCAGCTGACTTATGCCAAAAAAAACAAACCGTACTTAGTTAATGATTAGAGTTTGGATTACCGAAACTGCACAGTGATACTTAACAGGATATCTACTGTGTGCTGTTTTGTGTTTGAAGAGTGCATGGGCTCCATCTATCCCCAGATAACGTTATTTTATGTTGAATGTGCAGCAAGTGGAGCAAAAGAAGAAATATGAAGTAGAAATGTAAGTAAAAATGCAAATAATGTTAAAGTGTGTACTAGAGTGAATGTATTTAGTCACTTCCCAACTTTCTCTTTAAGCAAGAGAGAAACACTAAAGCAGTTTAAGTGAGAACTGGTCTCTCCAGATCATCTTTCCTGCTTCTGAATGCAAAAGGGAGGAGGGGGAACAACAGTGAAAAGTAAAGAAAAAATATTTACAGATGTGTCAGGTGCTTTCAAACACACTGTTGTTTGTCTTATGGTCCCATATTGAATGTTGTAATCTTCTTTTTTTATGCTTTACAAAAAAAAAAGGTTGTTTGCTTTGGAATTCCGTGTCAGAAAATTTCTGAAACCACCCCTGTCGATACTGACACCAAGATAGTGATATCTTATACTCGTTTCCACTCTAAGCCTGGCTTCATTTTTCATACATTACTCAGGTGGGAGGTTACAGTATCATATGGAAACAACAGGGTGAGAAAGTTGCTCTGTTCCCATGATAGAGACAAGAAAAATACTAATCTGAAAGTCTCCAGGTGCTTTAGTCCATTTCAATTACTACATTCAACAATCTCAAAACTTTATATAAGCCACAACAAAGTATGTTTTATAGATGAATATAATACTGCCTGAATTAGTGTTATTTAATCAGAGCAAACAAGAACGTTTACTACCAACATTTTTCATTTGGTTATTCAGACAATGTCTGTATGGGGTAACTAAAATGTGGTTAAAGGGGTCAGTTGATCCAAATCTTACCAAGACATTTGCTCCTGATCCCCTATGATGGAGTGTAAGGCCACAGAAGAGAAAACAAAGTCATAATGTTGGGAAAATAAAATTGTAATTTAGAGACAAAGTCATACCATTTCAAGATGTTTATATATCAATACTTTGTTATAGTAAAAAGGGAAGAGCAGCCTGTCTGTTTATGTGTGAAAAGAGTGATGTGACCTTTAGTGACCTAAAGATATAGGTTTCACCAATACCTTATTATCATAGCTTTTCAGATACTGAAATTAAATGACATTGACACCAATTACTGTACATGATGTATGAGTGAATGAAGCACAGCAGGGACTTTTTTGATGAGATAAACATATGTTGTCATCTCTGTTCAGAGGAAACCATCAAAGCCAAGTGGACTTTATGGCTCTTGAAATTATATGAAAGGCAGCCAGACTACCAAAAATATTACAAGTTTTGCTTTTTTAGGTTCTGTCGAATCCTTGTAGAGTTTAAGAGATATTGTAGCATTCATTCTCTTATGTAATAGTTAATGTAGTTTTTTCTTTCTGTTTGAGTTAGCTCAGTTCTTTTGTTTTACCAAGGGCCATTACATATAGTTTAACTTGAGTTTAATTTTACTGTAACACCAACGCACCACAAGGAAATATATTTAAAAAAATATATGAAATAAAGAAAAGGCCATCAGTACTCACCATTAAAATAGAGCTGCTGAACAGCAGTAGGGGCAGGGAACAGTTATTTCTGGCAAAGCTTCACCTATTTCCCAGGTGCGTGGAAAAGGAAAAGGGAAAAGGTCTCAGCTAGGTTAGAGTGAAACACACCACAACGGTATTGCTGCAATCATAAAAAATGTCAGCATCATGTCTCTTTGTACCCTTATACCAATTTGGGAGTATTCAGTCTATTTCATAATTACAACTACAACGGCTGACCTTGTTTCCACACAATTTAAATAGCACGCTTTTTTAAACACGTTTGTTAACAAGCAAAACCAGAGGCAAATAGCGTGTAACTTAATTTAATTAATGTTAATATTGAATTGTAGTTTCTGAAACTGTCAGTCATGGTTGCTTTGAAACCATTAGCACTCTGTTTTTTGGCACTTTTATAGTTCTTATCATGAAGTGAGAGATGTTTAATATAATTAAATCTGTGTCACAGCCTCTAATGGCGTCAGAATTCACCTCATCTCAAAGTTAAATTAACTTACTGTGGCGTGTATTGCTAGCTTCACAATTTCTGAGGCCAAATGACAACACGAAGCTTCTTACACTGTCTTACTTCACTGTTACTGACACGATTGGTTACACGTTTGGTTTTAAAAACAAAGAACATGACTACGACAAATTACAAAAATTACACATTAGCTAAAAAACTCACCATGTCCTCTTTAAAAAGTCGACCTCAAGAGCAGCACCCGGCAACAACGGCAGATAAAGTCACTCCTTCAATTAAATAAAAACGGTTCTAACGGTCAAACCTTGTTTCTTTTCTCCATTTTCTGTCTTTCCGTAATTTTTAATTGGATTGCTAGCTTCTCCTTCCCTCCATAGCAACTTCCATGTCTCCCTCTTTTCGCGCTCTCTCTCCAGCGGGTGCCGCTGCCGTTAGCCGTTGTTCTCTTAAAGGGACAGTACACATTTTAAACCCAAATATCCAAATTAAACTAAATGAAAAAGATGACGTTTAGCCTAGTGAGGAGTGAGTGAGCGAAATTAATAATACTTCGATACTGATATACAGTATATGTGAAATTATATAGGAAATTATATAGTAATTCATATGGAAATTTAACTGACTGTTTATGAATAACATACTGTAGCAAGGCTGGAATGACTGTTAACTGCTGGTTTAGTCAATTTTATCATGAGTACATTTAACTGATAGTACTTTTACTTTAGTACAATTTTGGATGCATGCTTTTATTTGTAAGAGGAAATTTACACTGTTGACACTGTTACTTAACGTCACTGCCAGTAGATGTTGCACTTGACCACCAGCATCTCAGACCAAAACAAATGCTTCTACAGCCACACCACTGGTCTCCCTTTGGCCAAACCACCCTTAGCAAGTTAGCTACAGTTAGCATGCCTACTGAAGGTGGTTACGAGTTACTTACACATCGAGGAGAAAAAAAAAAGTCAGTTATGAGTCAAGCTGCAGCCCTTTATCAGTTCAAAGGGTTCTCGATCTTGGCAAACCCAGACTTGTACTTCCAGGATACTGACTGTCCACTGGCCGACTGGGTTTTGAGCCCATAGTCCCCATGGCCAGTCCGCCTGTGCTCTGGTCTTATTGCTTTCTTTGTCAGAGTTTTCTTTGGCCCAAAAACATATTTTCTTCAGTGGAGGAGATTCTGGAAGGTTGTTGTCACCTGAACATACTGTGCCATCTCACCTGTGGGTGGTCTCTATGTGTAAAATGGGGAGGGCCAACAGTTAAACAGTTAATGGTATAAAGATTCTGAGTACTGATTCAACCAGTGCAAATCAAAGTATTTATGACATTGATGCCAAATAATATCACAATCTAATATGCCATTTATTAGTTTTGCAACATCACCTGCACAAGATAACATGGTCATTTCTGCTGGTCGACATATTTATATTACCCACCCATCATCATATAACTCAGTCCTTGTAGTGATGGTTCAGTTTTGTTTTTATTTTTGTTGTTTTATTTATTGACAGTTTGGTTTAATGTTAAAAAAAAGGTTACATGTAAAGCTTACTAATGTGTACAACTGTCTTCCTGCAGGTCACTGGTGGAGCCTGGTGCTGCTGAGTGATGGAGCTGAAGGTGTGGGTGGAGGGTGTGGTCAGAGTGGTTTGTGGCGTATCACGAAGCACTTCCTGTCAGGACGTCGTGATAGCTCTTGCACAAGCAATTGGTAAGTTTGTCAATTTTCATCCAACACTGATTTATTCACATATCCTTTAAACACTGTTACTGCTACTGCTATTACTTCTACTTTTTGGAGACTGGCAAGTTTTGCTGTCACAGTTTCTGGAACAGAATTAATTACAGTAGCTTTCTGTAACACCATCCATCAAGCTGTTAACTACGAAAGTGGAATATCTAACTGATTGATTGTTGTAAGATTTGCTGAGAATGCTATAGCTCCTAATGGGATATTTCTTCATTAGAGGACTGTACAGACTTAAAATAACATTTTATATCTTCATTTTAGAATAGCAACATCATCACATTGTTTGCTTTTTTCCTGCAGTTTTATATTATGGGGTGCACTAAAGTAAACTGTTTAATGTACATGCTTTTTATTGCATGTCTTTTATTTTGTTTTATAGAGTAGAATCATTAAAACTTCCCCTTTGACAGCCTCAAAATGCAGCCCCCTACATTCAGCTGTTTGTTGGTTGTAATATTTTGTACTGTTGAATATTAATCTTTCATGTGTATCTGTACCTGTTTTCCACAGGTCAGACTGGTCGTTACATTCTTATCTTGAAGCTACGAGAGAATGAGAAACATCTGGTTGCCGATGACTGTCCCCTGCAGCATCTGGCTCAGCTGGGACAGCTGGCTCCAGAGGTCCAGTTCATTCTGCGGCGGACCGGTCCCAGCCTCAGTGATGGACAGAACACATCAACCATAGAGAGACATATTCCCCTACCCAGACCATCAGAACCAGAGCCCCCCAAATACAGAGGACCACACAAGGCTCTCACCTTCAATCTGGGTCCCTCAACACTTCCCAGGAGGACTAAACCAAATAGGGCCTGGTCTCCATCGCCTAGGGCATCCCCAGAACCACGAGCGTCCCCTGTCTCTTTCCTAGACGCTCCCAACTCTGTGAAAGCTGTCCCCTCTTACCCCTTCAAAGAGGAAGTGTTCAGGCAGATTCTGCAGCAACAGAGGAGGTTACAAGACCTGGAGATTCAGATTCAAGCTCTGGAAAGGGAAACAGAGGTGTGGGAGCAGGAGAGGTCATCCGCTGTGGTTCCAATCCTGAATCAGGACCTTACAGAGGAACTGGAGGAACTGGAGCAGCAGCTGAGGCAGAACGAGGCAGAGCTGATGCACAGAGCACACTGGGAGGAACAGTTACAGGCAGAGCTGGACAGAGAGGAAGGTACGTGTTCAAACCTATGTTCACTGATTGTGGCAACTGTCTTCATCCTCTGACACTTTTAAAATAAGAAATGTTAACACTGTTATCAACAGATATGCACAGACACCTACACCAGATACACTCATCAATGGATGATCACAACAATCAGATCAAGGAGCTCCAGGCCCGTTCTGCACATGTAGAACAGGACATACAACTCACAGCCCACAAACTAAGCTCTGCAGTGAGTCAGCAGCAGGAGGAGGCCCTGGGGCCCCTGAGGCAGGAGCTCCACAACCGCCTGCAGCAGGGAGAAAAACTGAATGCAACGGCATCAGAGACACAGAGGGAGCTTCAGACTGCAGCAGGAATACTACAGGTATAACTACTGTGATCAGTGGATTCAACACATGGAGGTGAAGTGAATTTGCACACTGTTTTTGTGACCTTTTCCAAACTTTGAGGGAACAGAGAAACCTGAAGCTATGACATTAGCTTTGTCACACAAACCACAAATAGTCACTACAACGCACACGTTTTCAGTTATTACCTCAAAATCTGCCTGATCAAATTAAAAATTAAATTTAAGGTAAAGAAAAACCCTGAATAGCTCCCATGGTAGCTACAACACATATCATCAGCGGCTCTGGTGGGCTTTGGGGCGACAGCAGCACACTGTATAATGTCTTTATGGGAGGTTTAAGGGGGTTTATAGTTGTCATTACAAAATGTGCCAATGTGAGGAGCCATCGGGGGCCCCTTTTCCACTTTCCACATTTGCCTGGTTTGCCTCTCCTGGTGGTGCGCTGTATACTGTGAAACAAAGAACAAACCAGCAGTGTGAATAAAAGTGAATGTGACTTTCACTTTGTTATGGTCAACAAATCCCACAAAAAGACCCAAACCAACAGTGTGTTAGTCCGTCTTTTAGTAGACTTCCCCATCCGGTCTGTGTCGCTCAGCCCAAACTCCATTGGTTTCATATTTAACAAAAAAAATGCCCAGTAATTCTGTACAACACCTGTTTTTTCGCAAATGTTAGTCAAACAGGGTAAATAGTGCATTTGTTTGGGGCTATTTTCACCTGTGTATTTATATACATTTGGTGCTCTAGTGACTATTTGTGGCAGCCGGTGTGTGTGTTCATGATAATGAAGGAACATGTCACCCAGTGCAACTGTATGTTTCATTAATGTGTTTTTAATAGTATTTGAATATAAATGGAGCTCTGTGGTTCAGAGGAATAAGATATATCAGGCTTTGATACACAGGTAATTCTTGTTGGTGATATAATATTCCTCCATCCTCTAGGACAGATGGCAGCTGGTTGAGGAGCTGAATAAGGAGCTGAGGCAGTGTAACCTGCAGCAGTTCATCCAGCAGACTGGTGGTGCCAACAACGACCAGACAAACTCGCTGCCTATCACTGAAGTTTACCTCAGCAACGCCGGTATCATGGAGTAGGAGCAGCTGAAACCCTCACTGTACGTCAACAAGAAAATATTAATTATTACAGTTATTTTTACTTTTCTATGGGAGTAAAATGTACGTAGGCATTAAAAGGGAACAGGACAGGGAAGAAAAGCTCAGTTTCACTCTCAGGTGAAAAAATTGTGTGTCCAGTTTTTCATCTTCTCAGATCAGATTAAGAAAACAAAAACACAAATGAACACATGAATGTAGAAATGGCAGAAGAAAAACAGGCACTCCTATTTTGATGATTACAAGTGAAAATAAACTGAAACAATCATGAATAACTCTCTTTTTCTACTGCAGGACATGGACTAGAAGAGAAAAAAGTTCTCAGAGTCTGAAAACCCAAAGACAGTCCAGACCTTATTCTGTGTGTGTGTGTGTGTGTGTGTGTGTGTGTGTGTGTGTGTGTGTGTGTGTTTGTGTCACTGCCTGTTTTTTTTGTAAAAATGAAGAACAAGACTGTCTTTGAATTAAAATTAAACAAATGTTTGTATTGTATGTTTGCTTGTTGTGTTAATATATAGTCTGTTTGTAATTCATAGCTCACACAATATGACCTTTATAGAAGGTATCATTTCAAGCTCACACAAAGCAGCAATCTTTTCTCCACTAGAGGACGCCAAAGCTTCGTCCATTAACAGCCCCGTGTATGCACTTAATATACTGTACAAGCACATGTATGCATATGCTCGTGAACTTTTATGAGAAACGAAAATACATACATAACTGAACGTCTAAGAGTCCACATACAATCACAACAGGGCTGCTTTATATTTCATAAAGAATTCATTGTTTAATTGTTTGGTTTATAAAATGTCAGGAAAAAGTAAAAAAAAAAAAAAAAATGCCACAACTTTCAAAAGTCAAAAGATGTTTTCAAATGTCCAACACCTGTCAACAAACAGTCCATAGCCAAGACACGCGTAATTTACTATCACATCTACAAATCAATTAATCAACTACTCATTTCAGCTCTATGTATTATAAACCATTCGGGCAGCAAAGATTGTTTGAAGAGGAGTAATTTTGCACTTATAGATTATCCTGTGTGATTAACATCAGAAAACAAGTTTGGAGAAGAACAGAGACAAAGTGTTTGACATACACAAAAAGCCAAACTGCACACATGCAAATAAAATAGCTGGAAACGAACCATATCCTTGATATGAACCGTGGATCATCAACTCTCATCACTAATCCAGCTGGACAGGTCTGGACAGGTACAGGCATTATCCCAGTCCTGATGTGGATTCACAGCAAATATCGACTCTATAGATAATAACGTCTGTTCACCAGGAATTCACTGCAGGATTTTGGATGTGAAATCTCACAGCTGAGCCTATCCTTGCATCTGTCATATGTGACTATATATCACTTTGTTATATTTCTATTTGTGTATACAGAAACAGATATTTTTGAATAAATGTCCATTTTGTGACTCTTGTGTAAGTCTTTTGATGTCATATTGGAGTCTCTGAAGTTCCTAAGAACTACAGGAATGGCTAGAAATTATTCTCATTTTCTACCTATGTTCCTAAAACAAGATATTGTCTAAACACAGCTACTCTGATTTAATTGTATTAAAACAATAATAAATGCTGCTCATTAGATCCTCTTTTGAATATATATATATATATATATATATATATATATATATATGAAAATACATCACACAAATGAATGTTTTCAGTTTCAGACTTGATCTGCTTCTCAACTTGGATTTCAGCAGCTGTCCTCAGTCACTGAAGACCACCATCCACTTCAATACACACCTACAGACACCTCTCATACACTTGTCTCTGTGCTTTCTGTGGGAGAACACAGAGACAATGACGAACCGGCCCTCAACCTAAACTCCGACCAAGACGAACATATGAACCAAAGTTCAAACCCAGGATACAGAGGTTCAGTGAAGTTGGTGTTGAAGGTGTGGAGGTGGATCAGTGTGTCAGAGAAGACGCTGTAGAAGGACAGAGTGCCAGCAGGACAGTCCACATACACTGCTACTGTGTGAGAGACAGACGAGGAGGGGAGAGGCAGTTTGATTTCTCTGTCACTGTGACAGACGGAGTAACCCTCCTGAGAGCAGATCAGACTCCAGGACTGATCATTCTTTCCAAGCTTGCACTCATCCCCTTCTCCTCTCCTTCCAATTCCTTTGTAAGCCACTGATACGTTAACATGTCCTCTCCACTTGACCTCCCAGTAACAGCGACCAGTCAAACCATTGCTACACAGGACCTGCGGCCAAAAATCAAATCTCTCTGGGTGATCAGGATACGGCTGCGCCTCTCTTGCTGTCACCTTTCTGTTGTTGTCTGTTAGTTTGAGGGTTCTGTTTGCTGTGTTTGGGTCCAGTTCCAGTTCACAGGCATCTGATGGAGAGAACAAGACAGTGCAACAGAAGTTCAACCTCTGTTGATTTATTAGCAACTTCACAAAAACTCACTACTGACAGTTAAGTGAACTGATTCAAACAAAGTCAGTTACCCAACTTTGAATTAATTTAGTAGGGTTAATCCTCAAAAATCTTCGATCATTAAGATAATCAATTTTCATCAGATACAACTTGACTGATGTTGCACAGATGTTATATTAACCTCATTATTCAATACTGAAACCAAGGTAGGTGAAAGTGTTGTTGCATGACAGACAGGAAACTAACAAGCTGAAGTCAGGGTCCATCTTAACATTGCATGCAGAGTGAAGCATATATAATGATGGATACAGATGAATGATGGGTAATCTTTCAGACTTCATTGTTGTACTTCAGTAAACAAAAAAGTCATGTTAAATAATTAAACATACGTGGTTATGTTCTTGTGAAGTTAAGTTGAAATACACTCACACTTTCTTATACCGGGTTTTAGCCTCTGTAGTCCACCGTGCTCCATCCTGGAGATCAGAATTAATTTCATACACGTTCAGTCATACCCACCATGAAACAGGACTGTCAGCCAGTCAAAGTGGAAGAAAAACAGTATGAAAGCTATTGATATCTGTCTAAAGGGTCAAGTCTGTTGTTGTCTGCCTGTACCATCAGACTTCACTGCTCTCAGGACACATTCCCTCCACTGCCTACGTCAACCTCAGTCAGTGCCAGACCCCCCTCCCCTCTTTGAGTCCCTCAAAAGTTAAAAATCATATACCTGTACCTCTACCTCCCTTTCCCTCTAAGACAATTGAAAAAGTCTACTTAACCAACTGTTTGCGTAATACTTCCAGAACAACTTCATAGAGGCAAACTCCCTCTCCTGCCCCATTTCTCCATCATAACTTCTCCTACAACCTCTATGCTGATGACACCAACTAATTCTTTGAAAGACTCTTATACTAAACACTTTTTCTGTGGCACTAAACACGCTCTTAGTTGTTTGTTGGGGAGAGATGAGTTCTTGCTGAGTTTAAGTACACTTGTTATGAGTCACTTTGGACAAAAAATTCTATCAGATGATTGGAATTAAATACCTGAGAGTGTCCAGTCTCCATTGTGGATTCTTCAGTGCAGCAGACAGCAGCTCCTCTCCTGAGTCTCCTGGATGATTGTAGCTCAGGTCCAGCTCTCTCAGATGGGAGGGGTTGGATTTCAGCCCTGACTCCAAAGCAGCACACCCCTCCTTTGTGATCAGACAGCCTGAAAGCCTGCATAGGGACAGAATCTGACTGTCAATGTGAAACTTGTTCCATGATAGATTTTCATATTAGTCCACTGATTAGCATGTTAAATGTCATAACCCTCACCCACTCATAGCTCTGAGGCATGCGTAAAAAAAACAAACGCACCAGACCCCCCTCCCCAAGCACCAGTAATTCTAGAGAGCACTTCTTATAATAATCATTATACTATAACTAAGTGCACGAGTGAGTTTTACTCATTTACCAACAGGGAGAATATCCAAATCCAAAGCTAAACCCCCACTGACTCCTGTGTAATTTGAAAATTGCTATGAATCCAATCACAGTTACATAAAACAAAAATCGTGTCAATAGTTTTTTTTCCCCCACCTCTTTCTGGATTGTTTATTTTGTTTCTTGGTAAGGAGAATATTCAAATTGTTTCGCTCTAAACCATGACTGCATCCAAATGGATCAACAACTCCTCCAACCTGAGCCACCACACAGGTGGGTTTTTTTTTTTATCCCTATGATACAACCAATAGGAGGTTCTCCCAAGATAGCGCTCCTACGGTGACAGGCGAAATGGACCTTGGTTGTCATGGTTACAGTAATAAACACGCAGACTGTACCGAGAGTGACATACCTACCTTTGTTGCCATAATTACTATAATACATGACTTGGTTAGTTTGAGGCACAAAAACTACTAGGTTTAGGAGAAGATCGTGATTTAGGTTAAACTAAGTTCTTCCTCAACATTAGAAGACCTTTGTTGTCATGGTTACAATAACGACATGGTTCACTTTGTCAAACGGTCGTGGATAATAGAAAGACATTGGAATGGGAATTAAACACTGCTCTCCTGTGTCATATTGACACTCCTTTGCTCCTGTCATAACTACTACTATAACAATTTATCTATGGGTCATAATAACCAGCTGCACAGACAATATATGGGTTTGTTTTTTGTTTTTTTTGTTTTTTTTTTTACAGGAAGACAGTCTCAAATAAAAGCAGTTCACCTCTGCCATGAACCGGTGTACCTGATGTCATAAACATTTCCCTGAAAACCCAAGTCAGGGTTGGGTGTCCTGATCCAACGCACCATATTGGAGACAATTTTATTTAAAATAAGCCCCAAATGTCAAACTTACTCATCCTGACCTGAGAGTTTCCAGTGTACAGTGGGGGCTCTCCAGTCCAACAGAGAGCAGCTTCACTCCTGAATCTTGCAGGTCGTTGTTGCTCAGGTCCACCTCTCTGAGACTAGAGGTCTGGGAGCTGAGAACTGGGGCCAGAGCTTCACAGCTTCTCTCCGACAGGTTACAGCCGCTCAACCTGAGGGCAGATTTTAGTTTAGTCAGTCACATCACATACTGAAGATGTACAATAATCAATAGCTTGCTGGGTGATCTTTAACATGGAACTAAATGTTGACCTGAGAGTTTCCAGAGTACAGTGTGGACTCTCTAGCCCAGCAGAGAGATGCTTCACTCCTATGTCCTGCAGGTCGTTGTTACTCAGGTCCAGCAATCTCACCTTAGAGGACTGGGAGCTGAGAACTGTGGACAAAGCCTCACAGCTTTTCCTCGAGAGGTTACAACCGCTCAACCTGAAAAGCATTAAGCAAAGTAAAATAAGTGATTGTCATTTTTTCCTCACACACAGAAAAGGCTACATTGAAATTGACTTGACATGTATATACGTACACGACTTCTCTTGAAGCTTGAACCACTGGCAGTAGCCTCAAAAGAGCTTTCTCTGAAGCAGAGTATTTCTTAAGCTCAAACACATCCAGGTTGTCTTCTGATGACAGTAAGATGAAGACCAGAGCTGCCCATTGATCAGGAGAGGGTGATGTTGAACTCAGGTACTTTTGCACCTCTTCCACTAGAGAACAGCTCTTCAGTTCGCTCAAACAGTGGAACAGATTGATGATTTTCTCTGGACTGTGATTCTCCCTCATCTTTTTCTGGATGTACCCAACTGTTTCTTGATATGTCTTTGTGCTGCTAATTCTCTGTGACAACAGGCCTTGTAAAAGATTTTGATTGGTCTGCAGTGAAAGACCCAGGAGGAATCTGAGTAACAAGTCCAGGTGTCCATTTGGACTCTTTAAGGCCTCGTCCACAGCACTCTTATAGAAGTTTGTCATTGCAGCGTCCACCTTTTCTGTGTTAGCCTCCTTGGGGTTTATTTGTGCTTCTGACATTAAATTGACTCCGGAGTTGATGAAGGTCAGATGGACATGAAGAGCAGCCAGAAACTCCTGAACACTCAGATGGATGAAGCAGAACACCTTGTCCTGGTACAGGCCTCTCTCCTCTTTAAAGATCTGTGTGAACACTCCTGAGTACACTGAGGCTGCTTTGATATCGATGCCACACTCTGTCAGGTCTGATTCATAGAAGATCAGGTTTCCTTTCTGCAGCTGCTCAAAAGCCAGTTTTCCCAGAGACTCAATCATCTCCCTGGTGTCTGGACTCCAGTGTGGATCTGTCTCAGATCCTCCATCATACTTGACCTTCTTCAGTTTGGCCTGAACCACCAGGAAGTGGATGTACATCTCAGTCAGGGTCTTGGGCAGCTCTCCTCTCCTTCTGGTTTTCAAGACATCCTCCAGAACTGTAGCAGTGATCCAGCAGAAGACTGGGATGTGGCACATGATGTGGAGGCTTCGTGATGTCTTGATGTGGGAGATGATCCTGCTGGCCTGCTCCTCATCTCTGAACCTCTTCCTGAAGTACTCCTCCTTCTGTGGGTCAGTGAACCCTCTGACCTCCGTCACCACGTCAACACACTCAGGAGGGATCTGATTGGCTGCTGCAGGTCGTGTGGTTACCCAGAGGCGAGCAGAGGGAAGCAGTTTCCCCCTGATGAGGTTTGTCAGCAGCACGTCCACTGAGCTGGACTCTGTAACATCAGTCAGGATCTCAGTGTTGTGGAAGTCCAGAGGAAGTCGACACTCATCCAGACCGTCAAAGATGAACACGACCTGGAACTGATCAAACCTGCAGATTCCTGCTTCTTTGGTTTCAGGAAAGAAGAGATGAACAAGTTCCACCAAGCTGAACTTTCTCTCTTTCAGCACATTCAGCTCTCTGAAGGTGAATGGAAATATGAACAGTATGTCCTGGTTGACTTTGTCTTCAGCCCAGTCCAGAGTGAACTTCTGTGATGAGACGGTTTTCCCAATGCCAGCCACTCCCATTGTCATCACTGTTCTGATTGGTCCGTCTCTTCCAGGTGAGGCTTTAAAGATGTCTTCTTGTCTGATGGTTGTTTCTGGTGTGTCTGGTTTCCTGCTGTTGGTTATTTTAATCGCTGTGACTTCATGTCCATTACAGTTCTCTGAACTCTCTCCCTCTGTGATGTAGAGCTCTGTGTAGATGTTCTTCAGAGATGTTGGGTTTCCTGCTTTAGCAAGGCCCTCAAACACATTCTGAAATCTCTTCCTCTGGTTAGATTTGAGTTTTCGTCGACACACAGCATCTTGAGCTCCTTAAACAAACAAAAACTCAAATCAGAAGAGGATCAAAGAGAAAATGACAGAAATCATATCCGTGAAGTGTGGCTCTAAAGTTTTGGTTCAGTTCATCTGGAGGACAAACTGTTATAATGTGAGTGTTTTCAGGACCCAAATGGAGACAAACTCAAACAAAAGTTGGTAAGTGCAAAAAGGGTAATTTAATAAACAAACAGACTTTAAAAACTGATGCAAAACTGAGGAAATGGCAAGAAAACAAAACTCAGAAAATCCAATAAGCTGGCAAAACTCAGGGACATGAGGAAACATCAGGGGGACTGAACAGGACCAAACAGAAGTAAAACAGACAAACTGCCCAAAACAGAGAATAGGACAGAGACTTCAATGCACAAGGGAGGCAAAGGTCATTGACATTCTCACTTCCCTCTCAGAGCAGAGTTCCTCTAACATTTATACTTCTAAAGCTGTTCAAAGTCACTCACTGTTCTGCAGGGACTCAGCCAAGTCTTCCTGTTTTATTTTCCTCAGGATGTGCAGCACGATCTCCATAAATGCTTCTTTGCTTCTCTTCATCTGCTCCTCCATCTCACCATCCGCCCCCTCCCTATCCTCCCTATGCGTCTCTAAGCATTGTGGGTAATCTGCTCTCAGTACCGTCTGGTAGCTCTTCAGCTCCTTTCTCGCAAGAGTGAAAACTTCCTCCTCAATCAGCTGGAAAAGACAATACATGTAACATTCAGTTTAAACTACTAAAACACAACATCTGGCATATGTGTTTGCTTGGTACGGTCAGAATGGTATAGTTTAATTTCTGAGTTTTGTAGTTAATAGTCAAAGGTGTGTTTGAGGGAAGAGGTAAAATATATGATAGAAGAGATTTTATGTACAATTAACAATGGAGCCCAACTTTTTCTGTTATCCCAAAGAACATAATTTAAGGAAGAAATAGCAGATCTTTGTAGATCTATGTTTGTCACAAGCAAAACATAAGTATTGGTAAATGGTTAAAGGAATTGTCTGTATGTATATCCTTACAAAAAATTACTTATTCTATGAAGGGAAAACAAGAGCTCTTTAAAAAAAAGTATGGGGGCCTTTTACTTATTATCTTGAACATACAAATTTGGAAAGTTTCCTGGGAGTGAAATTGAAGATGATTGATGGGCTCCTCTATTAGGAGTAGGATGCAGGCCTAGCGCACCTGGCTTTACGTTGACTGTATGGAGGGATGAAGTAGGACACTGGTGATAACTAGTTATAGGAATAACATTTGTTAGTAACTTATTTATTTATTTTAATTGTATAGTATGTATATGTATGTGTGTACATACATGTATATATATTTTTTCTCCTTTATTCTTGCGCTTATTCACTATTATAGTTATACACTGTGTGTTAAAAAAGTAATAACGAAAATGTAAAAAAAAAAAAAAAAAAAAAAAAAAAAGAGGTGTGTTTGAAAATCTACAAACCATAAATATTGAACTCAGACATGTTTGATCCTGCTGGGCAGACTGACATCCGGGACCCTTTGAGCTCTCCTGCAGAACACTGTGGAGAAAACATCATGTTTAAGGACGTTTAATGACTCAGACCTGCATACAACTTATTAAGCATCACTCTAAATGGTTAAATACCATGCTCACACATGTTGAGGAGTCTTTGAGCAAGACACTGAATGATGAATAGCTGTTTGGATTAAGCTGCAGAATTAATGTGCTGTAAAGAGAACCTTTTTTAGAGGACATGCAAATTGAGCTACAACCTTTTAATTTCTGGCTTTCCACCATCAGATTGTTCCTCTTTAAAATTCTTATGCTCTGACATAGAGTGGTTACTCTTCATGGAAGGACAGCTGGATGCAGGAGAATCTGGTTTCTCTGGGCTTCAACACAAAACAAACAGAGCTATGAGTGTGAATCATTATGGTAGTATGATTTGGGTACTGGATAGTCAAAAGATCTTTATCTCACCTCTGAGTTTCTGTTTCGCTGTCATGTTTCCCACACAAAGACATTTTGGAGGAAGGTGTTTACTCTTTGACCATAACTCTTGCTTAAAATGAAACATAAGAAGTAGTGTAATAGTGTAGAACAACTGACTACGGTACTAACTTTTTTTCTTTTGAAAGAGAAAGATGGCACAGTCAGTGGCAAACTGAGCTAAATAACAGCAGCTTTTAATACACTAATACCTTTAAAAACTGAATTGCAGATTTTTGCTTTTTATAATCAAATTAAATAAAAGATCAAAGATTGATATAAGGTAAAACACGAAAAACTATACCTTAAGAAACACGGAGAAATCATCTGCGTCACCAGACCGGAAACAACTAGAGAGAGAAACCACACAGACAAACACACATAGACGCACTTATTACTCACAAACGGAGCGCACTGTATTACGCCGCAGCCGCAAGTCAGCTGAGTGAATCAGAAGGCGGCATCATACAGTGCGCTTGTGCGTTGAAAAATGTAGTGCCAAAAGAAAGTTTTTCACGGGACGATAAACCACTGAAAATATTCTACATGAGCCTATATTTAAACAGATATTGGATTGTTTCAATGGGCGTTTTAAAACCAGTTGAGCAGTTCTACTCTTCCTCGGAATTACTTCTTACCTTGACCATTCTCACTCCTCATGCCTAAACAAAGGTCCAATTTGGATAGTAATAGTTGTACTTTCTGTGAGGAAGAAATAGAAACAGATTATATACTTTTCTTCTATCTTTATAGTAACACTCCCCTGCAATGTTTACCAGAAATGATATTCTACATTTGGAACCATTATAGAAGATGAGAAAGCTGAATATTTATCAAATACATAATTACATATTACATATAATTACATTATTTTTGGAAAATTCTTTATCCATAAATGTATATGTATTAAGACATGTCCCTTATTAATGATTTTTATAAAAGAACTAGCTCTACACTGCAAATCACTTAATTTTATGGAAAAAAGCTGCAAAAAAAACTACTAAACATTTATTCCTTTCAAATATTACAGTATAGTCCCCTTAGATATGTTATTCATTTTGTTTGTTTTTACGTTTTTTTTTTCTTACACTGATTTTAAACTTGCCATATTGTTATACACTTTCTACTTAAATTCAAATTCAAATTCAAAATAAACTGTGATGTGATACTGTAACTACAGGAAGTAATTTTACTGTGGTATTGCAACTACAAAAAGTACTTTTCTGTGACAATGTAACTAGAGGAAGTGCTTTTATTGTGACGCTGTACTCTTGCACTGATGGAATATTTTTACCCTGTGGTACAAAAGTTTATATATATGTAGCGACTAAGCCTAAACTTAAAGCCACTGAGGGGCTGCATAGACGGGTTAAAACTAATCGACGCGCTTGCTGCTGCTGCATGACTATAACTTGTGTCCAATGAAACAAACAGCTTCCAGATTCGCTTCTTTATTTGATGCTTTCTTTATTTCTCACCGTCTGGATCTTTAAACCATGCAAGAATCCATTACTCAGTGCAGATAAAGTCCATACAGCTTTGTTCACCAAACAACAAACCAACGTGACAGCAGCGCAGCGCAGCGGTCGAAAAACGGTGTGCTCCTTCCGTCTAGCAACACCTGACACCTGCCAGAAGATTCCCACCCATATAGAAATTCACACACACAATACAATGAGGACACCCACTGGCCAAATTTGGCATCTACATATATTCGCATAGAAATGGCTCCTACAATATACAGACCCTTTCCAAAAAATTAGAATATCATGGAAAAGTTGTTTAATTTCCATAATTCCATTCAAAAAGTTAAACTTTCATAGATTATAGATTCAGGGCCCACAATTTAAACGATTTCAAGTATTTATTTGTTTATTTTTACATAATTTGGGCTTCCAGCTCATAAAACCCACGAAAACAGGAATTCAAAAAATTAGAATACTGTGAAGAAATCAGCCCAAATTTTGCAGGGCATGAATGTTTTAAACTGAGTGTCACACACTAATCATCTACTAAACTCAAAGCACCTGCACAGGTTTCCCCAGGTGTAAATTGCTTCAGTTTGGTTCGATTGTCTCAGTTCGGTTCAATATGGGGAAGAATGCAGACATGACAACTGGCCAGAAGACCATCATTGATACCCTCCATAGGATGGGTAAGCCACAAAAGTTCATAGCTAAGGAGGCTGGCTGTTCACAGAGTGCTGTGTCCAAGCATATCAATGGAAAGTCTAGTGGAAGGGCAAAAGAGATGACCGTGGGCTTCAGCGGATTATCAAACAGAGAAGATTCAAGAATCTGGCAGAGATCCAGAAAGAGTGGAATTAGGCGGGAGTCACAGCTTCAAAAACCACCACATTCAGACGCATCCGGGAGATGGGCTACAACTGTCGGGTTCCTCGGGTCAAGCCACTTCTGAACCTGAGCCAACGTAGGAAGCGTCTCAACTGGGCCAAGGAGAAGAAGGACTGGACCGTTGGCCAGTGGTCCAAGGTCCTCTTTTCCGATGAAAGTAAAGTGTGCCTTTCATTCGGGAATCAAGGTCCAAGGGTTTGGAGGAAGACGGGTGAGGAACAGAACCCAAGCTGCTTGAGGTCCAGTGTGAAATATCCACAGTCAGTCATGATTTGGGGTGCAATGTCCGGTGCAGGTGTTGGTAAACTCTGCTTTCTTAAATCCAAGGTCACCGCAACAGTCTACCAGAGTGTTTTAGAGGACTTCATGATTCCTTCTGCTGAGGATCTGTATGGAGATGCAGATTTAATCTTCCAGCAGGACCTGGCCCCTGCCCATACCGCCAGAAGCACCAAAACCTGCTTTGATGCCCATGCCATCACAGTGCTTGACTGGCCAGCCAACTTGCCGGACCTAAACCCCATTGAGAATCTATGGGGTATTCTCAAGAGGAAAATGAGGGGCACCAGACCCAACAACAAAGAAGAGCTGAAAGCAAGCATCAAGGAAATCTGGGCTTCCATAACTCCCAGGCAATGCCACAGGCTGATTGCCTCAATGCCACGTCGCATCGAGGCAGTGATTAAGGCAAAGGGATTCCCAACCAAGTATTGAAGATTGACATATTGTTTTGAAAGTACCATATTTTGATTGATTTGATGTGATCCTAATTTCTTTTTTTTCTGCAAAAACTGAGAAGTAAATGGTGATTTCTTCACAGTATTCTAATTTTTTGAATTCCTGTTTTCGTGGGTTTTATGAGCTGGAAGCCCAAATTATGTAAAAATAAACAAATACTTGAAATCGTTTAAATTGTGGGCCCTGAATCTATAATCTATGAGAGTTTAACTTTTTGAATGGAATTATGGAAATTAAACAACTTTTCCATGATATTCAAATTTTTTGGAAAGGGTCTGTATATAGTTGACATGACCACTTCTACTCCTCCTCAGAATGACTTCTTACCTTGAACCTGACCCAACCAATCCAACCAGCGAAGGCATTGACCATTAGCCAATCAGAGAAAGTGGTGGGCGGGTCATGTCGACTCCGTGGTAGGATTCGTAAAATTAAACCAGCTAAAGAGAGCAAGAGAAGACGTGCAGCTTTCCCGGGAGAACAGCTCCACCAGCATCCCGTCGTTTTCGTTTGGTTGTAGTTTTTCTTTTATAGAGATTTAGCATTTAGCATGCTGCTAACAGGTGTCAAGCGAGGACTGATTTGGCGGCATTTGAGGAGCGTTTCCAGCCACACACCTTCAATTTTCCGGCCAGACGTTTTGAGAAAGAAACTTTAAGCCGCGCATTTACACCAACTTGGTTTTCTAAACGGAAGTGGCTTCTTTACGTGTCTGAATGTGGTCAGGTTGTGTGTTTTGCTTACGTGAAGTGGCAGCGGAGGGAAACCGGTTGATTCGGTGCCCATTCACTTTCCCGAGGAGCTGGACCCAGGCCGTCCTGATCTCCAGCTCATAATCCCGGGCGATGTCACCAGAGAGACTCGTGTCACAGTTCAAGATGAAGCAACATGTCTACCTGAGCTCCATCCACAGACAAGAGCTCTGTTTACAGAAGCTGAAATAACTCATAGTAATGTCAGACTGTGGCCTCATCCGACCATCGCGCGAAAACATGGCTACGCAACCCCATGACCCGGAAGAGACAAGCTCACTTCTCCTTGATGCATGTCCATACCATAGACTGTATAAAAAGGTCCACACTGACATTTTGAACTCATTGGACATCTGTGCCCTGATGAGAGACTTCATTTCCATAACACCTGAGCACAAGGCCACATTTGGATTATTATAACTACTGGAGCACCTGGCTCGCAGCTTAAGGTAAAGTATTTAGTTTAAGCTGCTGCCGAGGAGTTTAATATTCAGTTGTCAATTTCTTTTAACATCACACTGATATAGTTTACCTTTGTTGAGAAAATGTCCATAGATATGTTCTTGTGTGCTGTTGGACACATGTATTGCAATATTATGGCATTATTGTGAGATAGTATTGTCTGTTATACAACAGTTAGTTCCGACCAAGTAATTTGATTGGACGAGAGTTCAGCGCTGGGACTTTTAACTAGATGTATCACTCCGCTTAATCCTTAATTAGCGTTACGTTACAGGGCGTTATCTATCTTAGATTGTAACAAACTTTGCAAAGATGAAAATCTTTTCAGAAATAACATTTGAATGAAATGATTTATGGTCGTCAGGAGAGGATGAAGGAAACAACCTTGGATACTTGAGCGCACACCTTAGCTAACATGTAGACAAACTAGCAAGCTAGTGTGCACTGTGCAGGTCAGGAAAATGTTTGTGTGTTGCTTTGGGAACTATTTGTGATGGCATACCAAAAAAGAAATGATAAAATAAACAAACAAATCATAATCTGTTGTTGTTTATTTAACTAATATGGCGCTCATAGAACTGTCCTATAAAAACAATATAACATTAAAGGTCGTGATGTTGTACTGAATATCATTATATATTATAATATAAATTGGTGAGATATTGCTTAAACTTACTGAGTCTTGTTTTGTAGATCTGGCTGTTGTTGTTACTGCTGCTGCTTTTTTGGTCTGTGTTGCAGAAGTATTGTTGTAGGCCTATGTTGTATTCGTATGAGTTGGGGTGAAATGTTCCTCCCACTACAACAACCTCCAACTTAAAACATCTTCCCCGCAGCCCTGCATGAAATCAGTAAGAAAAAAATGAATTAATTAATTTCTTATAAGTCTATCAAGACAGAATGAAGGCATAGAAACCAGAGGAAACTTGTCCCTGTTGTGACAAAATGTGGTTTTAATCATATTTAGGATACAATGAGGAACATTAAAAACCCATTTTTTTTATATTTTTAATTTTACTTTGATTGATTTATGTTGGGGCTTCTCATGCTACAGCTCTGTG